ACTGCAACATTGTGTACCTCCAACGGGTTTTCCAGTACAGCTTTAAGGTTAACCAGACAGATACTGCTCTGCGCACATACCTCTTCTCGGTCAATTTTTCGGCTCACAAAGAGGATGCCATCGTTCTCGTTAACATGAAAGAGGGGGGCCGCGCCTCCTGAAACCACCCGGAACTTTCTGGTTTTCAGCGTGCTTTTCTCTAGCCCGAGGTCCTTTGCTAAATTCCCAACCACAGTTCCTCCGTTTACTTCCTCAGAGATCGAGTATCTGAATTGCGCTGAGGCCATACTCCACAAAAGCACAGCGACCATGCACCGGGTCATACATCTTAAACCCATCCGTCTCTCCAGTCTTCTTTGTCCCATTGTTATTTCCCTTGCTACCAGTACTCATTCACAAGTATACAACTGACTAGAAATGGTCGTACTACGTCCATGTGAAAAATGATTCACTCGCTGACAACGACTGGCATGACAACAAATTTAGCGTTTCGAAATGCAGCTGGGAGCTCGGCGGATGCGTTAAAGACAAACGTTCCAAGCAATCAGAAAGCTGAAGCAACACGCAGTGACGACAAGCGTAAGGGATGCCGACTCCCTCTGTAATACTGACACCGTGCGTCCAGTATTCTTGCCGCAATAAACAATGGACACGTTAACGCAGCAGTTCTCACGGTAGATTGAATACTAGATTTTATTTTCATTTCATCAAAAAGCAACCATATATACACAGGGTAATGAGACTATATGAATGATGACAAACTGTTTTGGTTTTTCGTTCAGAAAGAAAACAACAGTTCAAAACGTTGGAAAGGAGACGAATCAGAAATAGAACAGAGGGGACCCCAGTGGGATGGGACAGCCCTTTTTCACTTAATTTGATCAGGTTGATACCTTTACGTTGTTTTACGGGATAAATGACAGTCGAATTGAATGTATAAGTGTACAAATGATGCAACACGAAAGCAAACAAACTCAGCACCATGGACAGCTATTTTCTCTGTCATCGTCAAAGGAGACTTTTTCACTGTTGTTTGTTTTTTAGGGAGTGTCAATGAACAACCACCACTGGCCAATGATTTGTACCACTTTGATAAACCCTTTTCAAAAAATATTTGGTTGCAAAAGCATTAATTAATTATACATTATGATGTGCAATTCAACAACTGAAGCTTTTGAATGCACGTATAGCCTTCATCAATATGTATCTAAGTTAGCAAAGGCTACCAGTAACATCAATTATATGGGATGAAGTTGGATGTTGGAACTTTATTTTTCAAAATTTAAGGTATGACACTAGACCTCTTAACAAACAATGACTTCTCAAACATCCTTACCTCCTCAGATGTTCTCCTCCTGTCAGGGAGCACCAGTGTATTGGCATGGCTGCCGGGTACTATAGTAGATCCTATACTCATCCTGGGTCCAACCAACATGTA